TAAATAGTGTATCAAATTGTCGAAAACTATTAATGCAAAACTTTATCTTTCAAAAAGAGAAAATACAATTGGGCCTAAACACAGGGTAAAGATGAGTTTCTTTTATTTGAATACTTAGAACGTAAATGTCTTTTTAGTTCAATTGTTGGTCTATTTCGGATACTTCTCCTCCCCACTCTCTAATCCGATCCTCAGCCATTGCAGCCTACATAACAACACATAACGGTTGCATTGAAAAGTTGAGGGCTCGAGTTTATACAACATATCAGATAATGATTACAAAGTTTTTTTGACTCACCTCTTTGTCCCAATTTGTTTTGCAGATCATCCAGGTCAAGACTATAGTCTGAACTACGGTTCCCGTCAACATCCCACACCAAATTCCCTTATACATCAAAGATTTCACAACATGTCTTTTAAGTTCTAGAAATTTTAGATTTTCAAAGGTTAGATGATAATGAAGATTTGAGTTTCATTTACCATTACACCGAAGTCAAGCTTGTATCCTAACAATAGACCAAATGGTATTCCAAACAAGTAATAGCATGCGATGTTAACATAAGCCACCACTGCTTGCCATCCAGCTCCCACAGCTACCCCTGGTTTTCCAATTTATTACCACATTGCCATCGGATCAATTAAGTTTCTCACGTAACCAATGTCTTGGTGGATTTCTAGTAAAGATTTTCCCATTTAGTTAAAAGTTAAAACGAATCATTCAAACCGAAAGACTAACCAACATATGTAGAGGTTGGCATAATAAACAATCCCAACCCAAATTACTCGTATTGAAACTGAACTAATTTTGGTTTAAATGGAACGGTAACAATATGTTTATACCATAACTAGATTTTGGCCACGCTTGATATTTAAATATATTTTTTAATCGATCTTAATATTTATACGTCTATTCTAATACTTATAAACATACAAAATGATATGTACTGTGTATAAATATAATAAAATTAAATTTTTACTAAACATATTTAATATCATATGCCCTGATCAATTTTGCATAAAAATATTAAAACTAATGCAAATGTTATTTATTTCAATTTATTTGAAGTGTAAAATTGATTTTTATCATTTGTGTAAATTGTAGAGTGCGATAAATCAAATAAATTTTAGATTTATAAATTTGTCGGACGTAACAAATTTTTTTTTTTTCTAATAATAAAATGTAAAAATATTTGTAAGTGTAGTTATCATCTACAAATAAATATTATTGTTAGAAATATAATAATAAAAAGCTTTTTAATATATCAATTTAAATATATATATATATATATATGATATATTAATTCTAAATATTATATTTAGTTAAAATTAATTCTGTAAAACATGTATTAATGGATTTATGTTATAAAATTAATAAAAACATATAGATATTTCCACCATGATACATAGTTTTAATTAAAAAAAATTTCATTGGTTAATTTTAATAATATTTTTCTTAAAGTCCTCATTGAATTATACATATGATTTTTTTTCAACAAATGTCTATTCAATTTATATATAGAGGATTATTGGCATTTTAAAGAAAATTTCAAAATGATCTTTTTTTTTAAAAAAAAATGGCATTTCTAAAAAAATTTCTACATTTAATCTAAGTATGCAAATCAATTTTTGTAAGATTAAATATATTTATCAATATATTTATCTATACTGGAGATATATCTTTATTATTTTTAATTTCTCTCGTATATTAAAAAAACTTGAATTTTTCTTTTTTTAAATATTCTAATTCTTTATTTAACGCATGGCAAAAAATCTAATAGTCATTGAAAAGAAAATAAGATATTCTCACATATACTTTATATTCTTTAAATAAAATCTTCCATATTAATTACCACATATTCCTTGTTTTCATGTTTAATAATTATATATTGTATATGTGATATAAATTTAGTCTAATTAGTTACACAATAATGTCATTAAGAAGTTTTAATAGCTTTCATTAAAAGTTCCTTAAAATCCTCTTTGGATGACACTTAGGATTTTCATTTAGTGTCTCCTCTATTAATATATAGAGGATAAAAACCTTATTTGTAAACCGAAAAAACATGAACCGAAACCGAATTTGAGTTCAAAACCGAACCAAACTTATTTTGACATTCGTTAAGAAAATTGATTATATATATGCCAAAAATACATTTAAAATCAAAATGAACTACATTAAATGAAAAGTTGAAACTACAGAAAACTGAACAAAAATACAATTTGATTTATCAAACAACCCTTTAGTAAAGCCAAACCGAACAAAAAAAATTCAACGGAACCGAATTCAATTGATTTCAGTTTTACTTTAAACATACTTCTCACAAAACAGAAATTCCAAAATCTGGATAACTCCAACCGAACAAAATGTTGAATTATCTTACCTATATGCACAATCCTTGTTACTTTTCTTTTTTGGTCACTAACCTAAATGCACAATTCAAACTAGAGAAAAACTTAAATTTGTGTAACTAATTAGAGACCGACCATGATCTAAAACTAAGTTCGAAAATGTACCAATTAACCGAACTGAGCGAGATTTGGATTTGAGATAAATAGATTACCTGATAAGACAGGTTGGACATTATTGATGACAATGGAGAGTGCAAGTATTGGTGTGAGTTCTTTAACAAGAATGATGACTTCTTCATCACCCACAAATAATGATGGATACTGATCTCTAAAGATGACTAGAACCATTGACACAACGAGTCCGATCATCGTCGATGTTATCACCGCCACTAGTAGTGAGAATTTCGCGGCTCTTGGATGGATTGCTCCTAATTCATTAGACACTCTCACACTGCGCCAGTTTGAGATTAATTTTCATGTGTGACGTGTTCGTATAATTCTAGATATATATACGAAAGAGAGGTTTAATGAAAAAAGTTTTGACTTTTGCAGGTGTGGAAGGTACGTGTTTACCTTACGGCTGTGTTCATCCCAATTGCAATCATCGCGGTCCATCCCAAAATGTTCATGCTTCATTATCCCATATTGTTAATAAAGGGGAAAAAACATATTTAGAGACATAAATCCATATGAGTAGATTTTCTTTTACTAGACTAGTTTCGTAAGTTAATATAGTAAAAAAATATGTCACATTCAAAGTGTT